GGGGTAGTTTCAGTCTCTTCGGCTGTGTTTCTGTAAACATGTTTCAGACTCACAAAGCAGTAGCGAAAAAGATCGACGTATCTTCAAATTTGTATAAGTTCTGGTTCTATTGCCCCACACTGTTAATACTCATGAATTTTCACACGTTCACATACTATTTTTACAGACTAAACTGTGCTTACTACGCTGTGATTTTTCTACATAAACATAATGCATCTTGACAAATGGCAAAACATGTTTGCCGCTCACAGGAACAGACAGGAATATCCTGGTGCGTGACTCTGTACTACTCCTACCCACTCAGGTACGGCGTTGAACTAATTGGGGACGCAAATTCTATTTGCTGGACAACGCTTGAAGAGGCACTGTTTAGGGGTACTTTATAAAAGAAGCATAACTACATCATTCTTATAGCTTTTTCAATTCTGTTTTCTTTATTTCAGACTTAACTTATATGCAACAAAATTCATACTATGAATTGTGCAGATTTGTTTACTGTATCTGATTACTGGGTCGAAGTGTGCTGCAATATTGTTGCTAATTGGACATACACATTATTTTGTGTGACGGCTACATCTTTAGAGAGTTATAGAACAATTGTGAAATGGTATAGATTTAATGCCCCTATCAACACTATTAGGTTATTTAAGAGACGGGACCTGTAAGTTACTCGTCCATCTCCGAGAGGATCGAGCCAAATGAGAAATTAGTGTAAAGTACCTTTCTCAGGGACACTGCATCGGACCGAGCTAAGGCTTGAACCTCCGAACGTTCCGCAGCCTCACCATTACGGGTCCGGCAGCTTAACCACTAGGCTATCGATGCCATCAAAGAGTTTTAGGCATATTACAAATTTCCTATTTAATTATTGTATTACGGTTTGGGGTTAAAGCCTGAAAAAAAAACAATCGCAAAGAGAAGAGGAAAGAAAGGGGCTGCGCATTTTCATCAGGATTTTCTCCACTGACTCAAGAATACGCGAGTGACAACATACATTATAGCCGTCTTACTGTCATTGAATAAGCCTCTGTAATGTAACGATTGGGTGTTTCGTCGTGTGTTTATCGAGTATTTTGGTCTTTCTGCTGGAATGCAATTCTCTCAGCCCGGGGTTGGTCCTGACAGGCTGGGTCGGGGCCCGCTAGCTAAATAATGTGAACTGTGTCGGTGAGGGCGTAAAAACGCCTACATTATTAATTTTTTTAAAGCAACTTTTCAACCCACATTGATTATGTCCGGCATCCAAACCACTGCCAAAGCAACAACATGTTTTACTCTGTACCCTGTGTGTGTGTGTGTGTGTGTGTGTTGGTAAACACCATCCACACTATCCACGGTCTCAAGCACCAAGGTCCAACCTTTGATGAAGCGTCTGTTGTAAACCGTTAGGGAACACCAACGCCGTAAAGAAACAGGCACCTTCTCACTCCAAGGGACCAAACTCGATTAAAAGGTACAAAGAGTGGGCGCTTACTGGGGAAGAGGATCAAAGCTTTACAAAATTGCATTCTTTATAAGCCCTCGCTGAATAATGAATGCTTGAAGGCCATGTTATTACCACGGGTTCGTGAGTTCAGCTCTTCGCGAGAAAACGGTCGAGTTGGGACGCGACTTGCTATATATTGTAAAAATCAATCATTTTGTATTCAAGCTCAAACCCAGAGGCTTCGTGGATAGGTTATGCACACTACCACAAGAAAGCATTCATAAACACAGAAACCCACTAACGCAAGCGCACTGCAGAAAACCTTTATACGCGTCTTTTTAAAGTGTCCAGTATGATCCGTTTCGTTCTCTCTCTCTCTCTCTCTCTCTCTCTCTCTCTCTCTCTCTCTCTCCCTCTCTCTCTTTCTCTCTCTCTCTCTCTCTCTCTCTCTCTCTCTCTCTCTCTCTCTCTCTCTCTCTCTCTCTCTCTCTCTAATAAATATTCTCCTCTCCAATCCATTGGTCATTGTCAAACATTGACGAATTGCTATTATTATCAACATTATTGTTGCTGCTGCTGTTATAGTAGTTATCATCATCATCATCATCATCATCATCATCATCATCATCATCATCATCATCATCATCATCATCATTATTATTATTATTATTATTATTATTATTATCATTATTATTATTTCTATTGTGTCCTTGAGTGATGTAAAACGACAAACGTAAGAGTGGACAAGAAAGAAAGAAAGAAAGAAAGAAAGAAAGAAAGAAAGAAAGAAAGAAAGAAAGAAAGAAAGAAAGAAAGAAGGAAAGAAAGAAAGAAAGAAAGGAAGGAAGGAAGGAAGGAAGGAAGGAAGGAAGGAAGAATAAGGCACTTTTTTCGATAACCAGCAATGATGTTACGTGATGACTTACAATACAATCGCAGCTGTCTAAGACAGCCACCCGTTGTCAAGGAGAAAAGTGTTTGTCTTAGACAGGTGCAATTTTTAAAGTTTTAGTAGAGGTATTACGGCGCTCGCAACTACATAAGGTCCTATGAGCGCCAAGGGGTGGATGTCAACAGAGAAGTCGTTAAAGAGAATCAGACTTACTCTGCTCACCTCTCTAGCTTCAACAGCACAAAGTCTGCTTCGACTATCAAGGCACCCCGAAAATAGCGGGTCACAAGAGTGTGACAAACGTACAAAAGAAGTAGAGGAAAAATGACGATAGTAAGGATTAGGAAGAAAAAGCAACAGTTTGCTGTTCCAGTTCAGGCGCAGTTATGAGCATGGCATCAATGAATCAGCATATTTATTAACAATTACAATTCCACTGTGCATAAAAACATGGTCAATGTCCCCCCTTTGAGAATGACCTAAAGACACTTCAGTCAGTAGCACCGACCTGGGGGGTAAGACAAGTGGATGTAATAGTGTCAATATAAAATTAAATACGCAAGGGGGAAGCGGCAAGTGGTCGTTTGTACAGGTGATTGTCTAGGACAGGTGACCGCCAGAGCAGGTTCGACTGCAGATATCAGGTTGTTATGACGTACTATTTCATTTGTACCACTGACAGACCATAAATCTCTCTACATGGAGCGATAAAGCCACCGTATTTATTTCACAGAAACAAAGAATACAAGTAAGTCTTGGGTTTGTTCATGTTCTCTATTACAAATCTCCGAGAAACTAAAAGTGTCTGAAACGTGTCGTAACAGAAAACTTGATAGAACGGAAGCAACCATTATCCCAGTGTCTAGAGTAACTAATTGGGATCTTTAAAGCTCAGTCTCAAAACTAGCTTAGTCTGGGGAGCAGGTGACTAACTCTGCATGGCAAAATACAAATGTACCCTGATCGTTTGCGGCTTTGAGCAACCGCGACGAGAAGACGACAACTTTGTGTTTATTAGTTGGTTTGTCGGTTTATTTGTTTGTTTCTTTGTTTCTTTGTTTGTGTGTTTGTGAAAATGGTGAAATGGTATAGGTTTAACGGCCCTATCAACATTATTAGGTTGTGTGTTTGTTTGTTTTTGTGTGTGGTGTTGTTTTTGGTTTGTTGTTTATTTGGGTTGCTTGTTTGTTTGTTTGTTTGGTTTTGTTGTTGTTGTTGTTGTATTGTTTGTTTGGTCGTTGTTGTTTTGTTGTTTGTTTTGTTTTGCTGTTTCTTTTTTATGTTTCTTTTTTATGTTTTTCTTTCTTTTTTTCTTTTTTTTTGGGGGGGGGAGGGGGGGCTGGGTATTTTAAATATCTTCATCACTTCATCTTTGATTCCAGTTAAGTAGTCTGGAGTACTAAACTAGGATGTTCAAGGGGCACGGGGGACATTGTCATAGACTTCTGCCCCACAAGATGGGGGCTCAACTTTATCCACTGTCTGGGTGCCACTCAAAAAACAAAACATCTCTCTCTCTCTCTTTGGATGACATCTTTTCTCCGAGCTTACTCAGTACTCTCGACAGTTCATTCTTGCTTGTGCGTTTACCAGGAGCCTGTGTTTTGATTTTTCCAATAAGAAGTAGACTCCTTATCAGATCCCACAAATTGGGGTCACACCTTCAAAATTACCTATTTGGATATAATGAAGACTGTATACAAACAACAACAAACAGCAACAACAACAACAACAACAACAACAGCACCTTTACCACCAT